AAAATTCGGCTTTGCTCCGTATCGGCCATAAGAGCGGGGTGTAAGGGGGGGGGACTTCTGGTTAGGACTGAAGAAATGAAGTTTTGGTGTTGGTGTTGGTGTTGGTGTTGGTGAATGGAAGAGCCTTGGGGCGGCCGGAATTGGTGAGGGTTGTGCAGAACGAACGCCGTGGTTCGCAGCTTCGTTTCCGACAACAGACGCAGCAGGCCTCTCGCGGAGCGACTGCGGGGTGGTTTTGCTTGGTACCATAGGAACAACAGGATGGCGGGGTTCCTGAGGCGTTTGGGCTTGCACCGCCTCGTCTGCTTAGCTAACGGGACGGCTCGCTGAGGCGTGGTGGGCGGCACTGAGGGCACCCCGGAAGAGTTCAGTAGCCGCCCGTCGGCGGGTGTCTACATCATTAGGCGCCCTGGAAATCAATGTCACACTGCCCCATCTGTTCCAACCCATCCGAGATGTAGCGCGACCGGGATTGCTGGTTGTTGTGTTCATGCAGCACTCCGGCGAGGCCCTTCCGAATGGGTGGAGGAGAGTCGTGTTGACAATATGTGTGGCTGTCTGCGTAGGGCAGAATGAGAGGACGTGTGGTGACGAGTTGCAGACTCAGCTTGTTGTCGCGGTGGTGTCGAGCGTCAAAAGAGAACAGCACACACAACCGATATAACGGCGGATCGTGTCTGCCTCTGTACTGTCATTGAGCCTCAGTGCGTTGACTGGCGCTCATGTGCGAGTCGCAACCAACGGGCTGATTGCCGCAAAAGCTCCAATCGACGATGCATCCATCCATCGTATGGTGTGGAGTGCCCGACGACGAAACAAAAAAGAGAGGACTGAAGCGGATTCGAACCACTGACATTGCGATCTGCAATCGCACGCTCTACCCCTGAGCTACCAGTCCTAGTTGATGAATAAGCAGAAGGCGGCAACTGCTTCATGTAGGGCAATGCGGACGAGTCGTTGAACTCCCAACTTTGTGAGAGCAATTCTCATTCATCGGGAAGGGTTAGGAGAGAGAGAGAGAGAGAGTAGGGACGCCTCGGAACCGGTGACACCTATGAATTCGTCTCCTCGTGCCTCGGCCATCCCGCGGATTATATCATTTAGTCGAACAAGTAAGTAAGTATCTGAACAAGGAAAGGAAAAAAAAAAAAAAGAACAAAACAGAGGGAACAAGAAGGTCAAAAGAGATAGGACCGAAGCGGATTTGAACCACTGACATTGCGATAATGTTGCAATACTGCAATCGCACGCTCTACCCCTGAGCTACCGGTCCTATGAGTGACGAAGTTTGAGAGAAGAATATTTATTGCAACGTGGCTTCGGCTCCATCAAGCAGTCTTTGCAGATGCATACCGCCTATTTCATACACGATGTATCAAGTGGAACATGTCGGGTGGGCGGTATATTACCAATGGGTATAAGCCTCAAATGGAGACGATGCCCTCTTCCCTCCGTGTCCCACAGTCAAGCCACAGTGGGGCTGAACTCCCGCCGAAGACCCAGCCCCCCAGACACGGCGGAGCAGCGCGCATGGCGAGCGATGCAGAGCGATGCAGAGCGGGGCAGAGCGAGGCAGAGCGCACCAATGGCACGGGCTGGATCGAGTTAAGCGCCGGACGAGGGACGCGTCGCCCTCATTGGCCGGTGAGCCACACGAGTCGACCCCTCCCCATTGCCCGATCCGGACTCTTCTGCCCTTTCCTGACCCTCCACCACACCTCCATGTCGTTATGCGCGCGCCATCCAGGCCATCTCACGACCTTGACTGGCCCGATGCTCGTCGTCCCAGCAGATGACATGCAGCCGTTTGCCATCCTCATTGGTTTGACGCGCTGAGAATGGGCTCTGCGACGCCGACGTGGATGTCTCGAAGAGGGCCAGACAAGAAGGCCCATCGTGTGCCCGCGCCCGCCCGCCGCTTGGCTTGTCACACGCAAGGAACACACCAAGGCACCACCAGCTGCCAGGTCTTTCCCGCTCGCGCTGCATCATGCAGCCGCTTGCTGTCCATCTAGCCGCTCACCATGCTCGCTCGAGAGCGAACCTCTGCTTCAATAAGACGCTCCGTCTCCCCCGCCCCCCTTCAGCCTTTCCCTGGAGGACCCGATGATCGACCTGACCTTCCTTCTCGTTCACTAATGTGCTTTTGTTTTTCTTTCAGCCATACTCTCCGAGTTGAGCTTCTCTTCGTGCCAAAAGTCAACTTCATAGAAAGCTTCGTTGACCGAGGCAGCCTGTCGTTCATCAAAGGCCCTGTTGTTTCCCATTCGATACCGCGCTTCCTCCTTCTTCATCAGAGCAGCCGGGCTGACGCTGCGCGTCTCTTCCTGCTGCGCCTTCTTCTTCATCCTACACCTATATTTACACGATCACTTCCAGCCAATCGACACTCGGGTAGGCATCGTCGTCTTTGTTTTGCACCAGCCTCCCAGAGCACCAGCTTCTCGGAGCACCAGCTTCCCGGAGCATCAGCGTCCCAGACCGCATCCACCAACACACAGCCCGACGCAACCATGGCAGAGCTGGTACTCCTGCCCACATCCACATATCAGCCTCCTTCGCCCTCGCAGGGTCGAAGGCCAGGGAGGTTGCTTAATACTATAATCGAGGAGGAGAACGAGGACGGTCAGCAATGGCACCAGCTCCAGCTGCGCCAGAACCAACGACAACGCGACGGCCGCAAGCTTCAACCCCCCGCCAACGTCCAGATCGAGGCCTGGCTCTCCCCCATGAGCGACCACTTCCCCACGCCTAGGGGCTTTCACTTCATGTCGGCCCCCATCCTCCCATCATCTCCCTCCGACGACTCGGTCGAGGAGCCTCTGTCCCCGACGACCACCTCGAACCCGTGGAACCACCGAGCCAGCGTCATGACAGACATCACCGAGTTTGACGATCTCTACGGCATCAGCGACGACGAGGAGCAGCGCCTGCGCGGCATGCCCTCGAGGAAGTCGTCTGTCCGCCGAAGGAACACCGCCGACGCCGTCAACCACGTCCAGACGGCCATGACCGCCCGCAAGGGGTTGCCCCCCTTGGTCATCCCCGCGGCGCTCATCAACACAACCGACGACAGGTCTGCGCGCTCGCTCAAGAACAAGCTCATCTCCCCCGTGCCGCCGACACCCCCGACGCGCGTCGAGATGTCGCCCGAGGTCTTCTCCTTCATGCAAGCCCGCCAGGTCCAGGAGATCCCCACCATCTCCGCCCCTCCCTCCCTCGACGGCAGCCTGGACGGCAGCCTGACTTCGGAGCAGCTGGCCCAAATGTCGGCGCCCCCACCCCCGTCATCGGCAACGACGACGGTGACAAGGCCGAAGACTGGTCTGGAGTGCAGCTCCAGCCAGGCGCTTTGGCAACCCTGCAGGCGCTGTCGGGGGATAACGACAGCGTCGACGGGCACCACGAGCACCAGGAGCAGGTCCTCGAGATCCCCCAGGAGCCTGTTCGCGAGATGCGCCAGCAGAACCTCCGCATCTTCACCAACATCCGAGCGACCGCCCCCCGCTCAGGCGAGATGACGCCCGGCTCCCAACGGCGGTCTCTGGCTGATCTTTCCAAGCTCGAGATCCCCTCACCTGGCGGGTTCTTCTCTGGTCTCTCCCCGCGCACGAGGACCACCTGGCACATGCCCAGCCGAACCCCCGAGGACATGGTGCCGCCCACCTCCACCACCGCAGAGCAGTTCTACCGCTGCCCCTGGAACGTGGACGCCTCGGTGCCCCCCGTTCCCGCTCTTCCCAGCCTGCCGGTCCGCCAGCCGGCGGCGGCGGCCAGCAGCATGGCAGAGCAGTTTTACCGCAGCATCGCCATTCCGTCCTCTCCCGTCGAGCGCATCATTGAGGTGGCGGAAGATGACGTGGAGGACGACATGCCCACCGCCAGGCCCGTCGTTCCCACCATTGCATCCGGCTCATCTACGCCTGCGGATCCCGTCTCTCCTGGAGTCGACGGAGCCGCGACCGAGATTGTCACCACGTACGACCCGGAGTACGCTCGCAAGCAGGAAGAGGTGGCTCTGTCGAACCTTGACCGCACCGGCATCTGGCTCATGGCACAGCGAGCCTATCTCAAAGCCATAGACGTGGACGCAGAGGACAGCGAGCAGCAAGACCAAGGCCTTGAGACTATCCCCGAGGCTGCAGAGGAGTCTGGCGACTTGGTGGTCAAGGCTCCAGAGCCCGCATCCGCCGACCTTCCCAAGAAGAAGACGGTTCGGTTCTCCGCCCTCGTCTCGCTGACCAACGTACCGCGCTCGCTTCCCTCCAAGCTCTTGCGACAGGAATCGGCCTACTACCGTGCCTTCCAGGACTACATCATCCAGAGAGGCCACCTCGATGCCTTTGTCCACCAGCTGCCGCGCTTCGAGGTCCTCCAGGCCCAGCGCGTGTGCCGCCGCGAGTACCACCGCAGCCAGCTCCTCGGCAAGTATCAACTGAGCGTCATGCCGCAGTCGGCCAAGAAGCGACTGAGCGCCAACGTCGCCCGCGGCGATGATGTTCTCATCGACGACCCTGAGAAGCTCAAGCGTGAGAAGGAGCAGGAGGCCATGAGCCAGACGTCCATGTCCAACTGGCACGTGGCCGCCACGCGCTACCTCAACGGTGGTCGCCTCATCTCCGCGCCCGTCGCGAAGCGCCTCGGGCGTCTCTCTCGCATGGCGCCGGGCCCCGACGGCGTCGCTCGCGGACCGAGCTCGCATCCTCGACCTCGGTGGCCAGGCCACGTGCGACTGGGCATGGCACTGCGCCCTCCAGTACCCCAACACCAAGATCTACACCGTCACCACAAAGGCCGTCCGCCAGCTATCCAACTCGAACATTCGCGGTCCACCCAACCACCGCCAGGTCGCCGTCGAGCGCCTGACGCGTCTGCCCTTTGCAGACGCCCAGTTCGACCTCGTGTCGGCGCGCGAGCTGCACTCGCTCCTCAAGTTTGTCGGCGGCAACGGCGAGGACGAGTGGGAAGGGTGCCTGCGCGAGTGCATGCGCGTCCTCAAGCCCGGCGGCTACCTCGACTTCTCCCTCCTCGACTCGGACCTCATGAACGCAGGCCCGCTGGGCCTCGCTAAGAGCGTCGAATTCGGCTTCACTCTCAAGACCCTCGGCTACGACCCGGCGCCCACGAGGATGTGGCTCGCGCGCCTCGCGCGCGCCGGCTTTCCAGGAGACGCGCCGCGCCTGGTTCTGTCTGCCCATCGGCGGCCGCCCGCCGGGGCAAGCCCCCTGCCGGCCCTTTCCGGGCGCTGCCGCCGCGGGGGAAAGACGGCTCACGCCTGAGGCTAGGATGACACGT